CCAAGGCTTTGTAGGGCAGGAGTGGCTCAGGGCAATCTTCCCTTCTGTGCATCTGCAGAGGATGCCTGGAATCCTCCAAGGTCAAAGGGTTTTGGGCATCCCAATTGGATTGCATACTAATGCATCAGAAAACATCCATGTCCTTCCACCACATTCCTGACTACTTATCCATTGTGCAGCAGCAAGAAACTATTGCTGTAATCAAGAAAGCCAAAATTGTAGGCCTAGAGGTGGTGTGTGTGTGTGTGTGTGTGTGTGTGTGTGAGAGAGAGAGAGAGAGAGAGAGAGAGAGAGAGAGAGAGAGAGAGAGAGAGAGAGAGAGGGCCACCAGCACAATCCATGACATGGCTGAAGATGACACCCAATCCACATACTTATCCAGGTATGTAAATATGCAAATTGTTTACATGCTGCAAGGCTTTCTTTCCATATCTCCATATGTTTGCACGTACTACTATTGCTGCATCATAGTGGCATCCCTAGGAAAAAAAATAATAGGGTATTTAGAAAGGCCAACATGCCTTTGGCGAGGAAGAGTTTTGTCCCACCTGTTAGATTCCTGAAAGAAAATAGGTGGGCTGGGAAGCAGCAAACCACCATTGTGGGGGTTCCCACCGCCACTGCTGCAACCACCATGCTTTCCACGCAGGGTCAGGGATAGCATTTCTCTGCTGGGGAAAAAAGGTCATTCCTGTTGCCATTGCCTCATGCTTATACAGGCTTACAGAGGGAAGACTGACAACTGACCTGAGGAAGTAGAGCTGATTTTTGTGAATGAAAGACTGTGGTTGTTTCTCCCTGGGAGCAGTGAACCTTGAGGGGGGGTGTTGATAGAGGCCTGTAAAGTTGCTAAGAGAAATGCTGCGGGGAGAAAGTGAGTACAAAGCTATTGTGCTGCTGAGACAGGAGCTGAAGTCAGACTCGTCATGTCACTCTGGTGCTGGTGACATGTCTAGAGACATAAATGTAAGCCCACCTTCCCTGCCACATGTAAACAAGACGCAGGACAATAATCTGTTGTGCAAAAGAGACAAGAACATTCAAAGAAGAGCTGTGCGTAGACACCACAGGCAGTTAGCAGGAGAGTCATCAGGAAAACTCACTGGCAGTGAGGATGTGGGAAGCTTGAACTTGAGCACCCAAGGGCCAAGAAGTTGAGAAGGGGACTTTGTTCCAAGAATCAAGATTCCTAGCAGCATAAGATGATGAAACAAACAATATTAGACATGCAGATAGGCAGATTTAAATGTTTATAATACTAACAGATATTAATACCAAAACCTAAAAAGCATAAAATCCTAGGTAGAGCCCTGCTGAACCAAAGGCTTATCTAATGCAACATCTTGTGTGCCACACCTGACAACCAGGTATGCACAGGAACCTCACGCCAGTCATGAGGGCAAGAGCCCTTCTCTACTGTCATGCCCCAGCAACTGATGAAGGAGAGGACTAGCTGCACTGCGTTATTCCACACCAGCATCCGTATTGTATAGGGCTGCCATACATGAAGTGGCCCAGAGGATAGCTTTGGACTACCAGGAGCACATGGTAACCTGTTGATGCTGCAGCCAGTAGCAAAGTGCTCCTTCGTGTCCACAGCCACACTGTTAAGCTTGCTGTGATCGCGCTGAATGGTGAGATTCACCCGACGGAGGGAGGCTTCTGGGCGACAGTCTTAGATGTGCAGACAGAAACTGCACTTACACAGTCATTTAGAACAGATCACATAAGATGCATCCTTAGCCTTTGATCATGGAAATAAAAGTTACAGTAACAGTAACTTTTATTGCATGGAAAATGACATCAACTCTGCCATTCAAGAAATCATGTGCATGCAAATTTGTTCATATGACGTGATGGGAATAAACTACACATGCAAAATATGCATCGAAGTTGTAAGATGGGCTACTGATGCAATTGAAAATAAGGCATTCAGACATTGAGAATGGTGGGGTGGCACCAATATGGAACTCTTGCAGGGCGCTGTTTGGCTGAAGCTCAGCTGGGTTCTTACTGTTGGAATCTGACGGGAAGAGAAGTACCTTGTGGGATGCACTATGGGAATGTCAGGATCACCTTGGGGTTAGGAAGGGGAAGAATCATAATGCCCCAAACTAATGCACCACTTTATTCCTTAAAACTGTATCTCCCACTTATCCCCAATTTGCATACGCATGAGGCAAACCTGCATTGGCAGAGTTAAGACTGTTACTGTCACTTGTAGTGCAGAGGTCAAAAACCATGGCTAAAGTCCTGCCTCCTGGGTGTGTGTCAGGTGACCCTGGTGGTGGGTTTCTTTTTGGAGGTCTCTGCTCTTCTAGCTGTGTGGGCCTTCATTCCCCCCCCCCCCGCCCCCCACAGCCAGGAGGACAACACGGCATTCTCCTGAGCACAGAACTGCCAGCCATCTCTGGCCCCATGCCCGCTAACCCCTACTTCATGGAATATAATCAGGCCTGCCCTGAGCTTATGTTTCAGTTCAGTTAAGGCACAATCACATGCAAGTTTTGACAGAAAAAAACCTTATCACTCCCAGCAGGATTGTGTCCTTCATATATTAAAACAGAGTAGTCTTTAAAATGACATCTTTAGGGAAACTAATGGAGAATGCTAACATTTTCTGGTAGTATTTATGACCCTTAAATAAGATTTTATTAATTCTATTGGATTTCTTCATATAAAACATAAAGTGTCAACTGTGCTAAAAGATTTTTAGCTAAAGGATTTCTGCCTCTAGCTCCCCATCCCCTCCCCCACTGCCTCCCACTAAATACTTGAAACTGACTTTAACAGAAGTCGATCCATGTCTTAGATCTAATCATATACATATATTTGTCTCAGACACATTTGGGAACAAAAACCTACAGAACGTTCAAAAAACCATTAGTGTTCCATAATTCATGTTACCTTCTGTTCAGTATAGAAGTGACACATCTCATTTCATTCGTGACAACAAATCGCTTTAGAACCGTAGGTGCGAAATATTTTTAAATATTTCACACCTGCTTGTGGCGGCTGCCAAAATGCCTTCCTAGCATGGGCAACTGACAGAGGTGGTACTACTGGGGCAGCCCACTAGGCTGGAGCCCCAAATCTTTCATCTGGAGAGCCAGACCTCTGGGTCACCACCACTGCTGTCTGTGGCAGGGCATGCTGGGAAATGAAGCCCCTTTTTTCTGTCAAAATTTGTATAGGATTGCCCCCCCACCTCCAAGCAATCTAATTAAACATGCAGCCTGATTCTATATTTACTTAGAAGTAAGTTTCCCTAAATTTACGAGGCCTCCCTTGGGACATGGGAACAAATGGAAATCTGTTTATTTTATACTCAAGTTCCCATGAATTTTAACCATGCTCTATACCAGCTATGTTAGCACACTGTGAAGATGCACAAACCATGAACTGTGGGGACCCAAAGCTCATTTTCAGGAATATCCACACACAAATCTGAAAGCAGAAATGCCATTATTTAGAAAACATAGCGCAAGAACTTGAATGTTGAAGAGCTACAGTTGTACAATTTGCAATACTGTAGATACAGTGAATTTTCTGAATACAGTTGATTTTGTACATTAGGATTCTGAAGGTCATTAGCAATTTCAGAAAGCTGTTCTAAAGAACCACTGTGTCCATAGAGGCAATGGGCCCCTGAATGGCTGGGTTCACACAACATGGCAAGCCAGAGTACAGGTTGAATATGGGTAGAGTGTGAGTCGCTACTGAACCATTTGTTGTTGCATTGCAGAAAGCCAGATGAGGTAATAAAACATGCTTTGTTAACAATGAACAACCCACAAAGAGAACCACTGACTGGATTCACAAGCCAAAGTAGTTCATAAGCCAGTAGTGGCTTATCTTATTATCTGAACCCAGCCAGAGTCTTGTACTGCTGGGTTCAGACAAACCCACTCCTGGCTTATAAACCACCATAGCTTATTGTGCTGTGTGAACCCAGTCCTTGTATGTAGGGGGTTCATGGTTAAACAAACTAGCTTGTTGCCATAGTGTGTTCACACAACAATCCACGATTTGACAGCAACTCATGGTTCAGAGATAGCCTACCCTCAAACCTGATTGTATGAGCCTGAGCAATACCAGGTTTGCCTGTGTGGATGCTGGAAGAAGCAACTGCAGAAAAGGACTGCTTCTTGGCCTTCCTGGAAAAGCCTGTTTGGCTACTGTGGATCATGGCCTCTATGGGCTTTTCTTCTAATCCAGCAGGGAGGGCTCTTGTGTTCTTTCCAGTTCATCCTGGAATTGAAAATATGGAGTAGGTTTAGACTAGTACTTCTAAAATTCTGCCCCAGAGTCCAGGTGCTGTCCAGCATGGTTCAACCCATGCTTGTTATAACAAATGGGGGGAGATAGACAAAGGAATAACCTTTAGCTCCAGAGGCCAGAGCTAAAAATAATGGGTGGGATTTACAAGGATGCAAATCAGCTAAACATCAGGAAAGCCGCAAGCACTGTCCGATAGTGTGACAAACTGCGTGCAATCCTGTACATGTGCAACCTTGTACAGTCCAACAGGCCTCAATAGCCGACGTCTGCACCTCCGTTCACCGAAAAGGTTGTCAGGGGCGCACGGCCAAGTATTACGCAGTTCACATCAGCGAGGCCGTCTCAACCCGTCCCCCGTCAGCTGGGACTGGGCGCCATGGAACTCGACTGGTCCCCCGTTGGCGCGTGCCCGGGATCGCCAAGGCTGTGCAAGCCAGCACGACTCCGGCTCGGGCGGGAGGATGGCCAGCTCCACGCTCTCCGCGAGCCGACCCAGCAAGCTCGGCTCAGCGCCGCTTCGGCTGAAGCTCGCCTCGGGCCGCCGCCGCCGTCCCGCTCTGCTCCGCCTCGCAGACGTCACGGCTACCTCGCCAATGAGCTGGGCCTGAGACTTCGGAGGGGCCGAGAGGAGGACGAGGGAGCGGGCGAGCCAATTGGCTCGGCGGACGCTTGCAGGAGCGCAAAAGCCAGGCGGGCGGCGCCCCTCCCTCGGCCCGCCCATCGCCTCTCGCGGCCCCGCCGCGGCTTCAGCAGGAGAGCGGGCAGAGTTCCGCGCTCGGGTGGGAGATGCCGCGCGGGCTCCTTCTAGCTTCAGGTAAAGCCCGTGGGGAGCGCGACGGGGGCCGAAGGGGCCAAGAGGCGAGGGCTGGCGGCGGCGGATCGCAGGGGTCCCCTCGGCGGGGCTGGCTCCTGGGCTCCCGGGATCGCTCTCTGCGGCAGGGAGAGGCTCTCCGTTCGCACCCACCTAAAGAACACACCCCCCAAGACAAAAGGAAGCGTACGACACACAACAAAAGGGGGTCCGTTGAAGCGGGAAGGCCCGGATCCAGCCCAGATCCACTTTTTACGTACTTACTCCTACCCATCCCAACTCCCTGTCCCCCTTGCCGGTGGCGTTGCCTGTCGTCTCCTGCCCCGATCCTCGGAATGTTTTCAGGTCGCAGCTCAGTCCTGAGGAGCGCCTCACCTGCTCTGCTACCCGACGGGTCTTACTCTGGGGGAAAGGAGGTGGCAGGCACGCTGGTGAGGAAATAAGACCCCCTCAACTTAAGTGAGACTTACTTCCGAGTAAGCATGTCGCGGATCAGCGAGTGCGCCTTCTAACGATGCTGCTATAGTGGACAATGCACTGGGTCGAGCCACTTAGAATAGATCCGGGGAGGCAGTTGGACCCCGAGCCTCATCTGGGCTTTTGTGTGCAGGCACGATGCTTGTTTTCGTTCCTTTAAAGGAACGATTGTTTTCTTGCTGGGGAAAACACAAGACCTCGGGTTTTTTAATGTCTTGTTTTAAAGAAAAAGCGAAATAAAGTCTTTATGGGGATCTGCCAAGGTTTTGATCCTCTGCCACATATTGGAAACCGCTGGCTGGCAAAACCTTTCCAGCGGGGCTTCCATCTTTCTTCCCAGGTTACAGGAGGAGAAAAAAGATCATTTAAATGATCTTTTCTGAGCTTTGAGTGACGCACCAGGAGTGCAAGGCATTATCAGTGCCCTGCCAAAGCTAGTGAACAAAGACAGCAGGAGCCACTAGACAGGCAGCAATCTTGTGCATTTTTCAGAAGCCTAATTGAAGTCAGTGGTGGCTTACTTCATAGATATAAAATTGCACTTTGGTCACTTAGAATTCGGCAGGACTGGCTTCTAGGAATGCACCGCCCGGAGGATTCTTTCATCCAGGTTGTACATTATGACACACATTGTTTAAGCAAATTTGCAAAATTATATGTGTGCATCAGCTGCTCTGGAGAACTTCAGAACTTAGAAAAAAAGTGGACAGAATATTGCATTATATTTGTTTATAAATATCTTTCTGCCCCTTGGTTTTGGAAGATGCTGCACTTTTTCAGGGATCTGAAGTGGGTGGAGGAAGACAGCTTTATCTCCTGGGACACAATAGTTGGAAAGCCTTCTCTGAACCCCTTTTCTGAATTTTTGGGCAATTATTTCCAATTGATTTTTGCCTTTTTTGTCTAGTATGTTAGACTTAAGGCATTAGGGAATTGGGATATTACCATAATGCCTGCTCACTGTTTTATGCCACTTCATGTATTTTTATAGGTATTACTATAGGGGACATTGCTATATTAACAAGGGCCCAGTTCTGGACTGAATTAATATCTGCACCACACGTTAGTCCTGCTTGGGTTTCCAGTGAGCTTTTTGCTTTTAGAAGGGAGAACCTGACATCTTTTATAAGCTGAGCATCTCTCTCTCTCTAGTTTTTGAAGATAGAAAACAAAATGTAGAATCCTCTTTTCGCTGCATAGTGATAGCAGAGATAACAAAATAGGAAAGAAAATCGCTTCTGTGGTATAGTCATGCATTGAGTCTGGAGGCAGAGTTGGAGACCTCTAAATGTCTAGAGAGAGAGGAAAAAAGATTATTTGTACTCTATGAGCACAAACTGTATTCAGAATATAGTAGGCAGAAAGGGGCAACTTGTTCGAAGCTGTTGCATATTGCTTGTTGTGCGAGAAAGTAGGCTGCAGGCTATAAGCAATTATGTGCAGAAGACACATTTTAGAAAATATTCTGCCGACAGGATTAGTCTATCATACCAGCAATACCTGTAGGGCACAATCCTATGCAAGTCAAGTCAGGCAGTTGTAGGCCTTGTTTCCCTGTCTCACTGTACATAGGATACAATTTCAGACTTCAGTAATTAATGAGATAAGGGAGTTCCTTAATACATAAAGTGATGCTCACTGATCATTGATGTGGTTAGTGACAAACAGTTTTCCCCATTCTTGACAAATGTTGACCGGTAGGCTACTATAACTGTAAAATCTAGGAGGCCGATTAGGCATTGCTAACAAAACTTTCACTTCTTGCATTAGGGTTGTACATTGCACCATTAAATTATTTTGGACTGAATTTGGTGTGAGCACATGTCATCTACACAATGGTTCTCCCACGTTTTGTATCCTCTTGCCTGAAGAAGAGAATGTGACTATCTCTGACTCAGCCTAATGAGGCCATTGTACTAATAAGGAATTTTTGGGAGGATGCAAGTGATTCTTAAGGTCACCTGTCCTTAAAGCCTCCCTGTAGTGGAAAAAAAAAACCACCTTTCTGTGGATTTCTTATACAGTTGCACCTCTTTCCTCCTCTCATGTTACCTGTGCTGAGGTCAGATTCCTCTCTATCTGTTGCATTGATGGACATCAGTAGACAGGAGATCTTAGATATCCATGGCCATGATCTATATAGCTTCTTGAGTCTTTAATTGAAAAACTGGCCAAAACAGACATTACCTTAAATGTTTATCCAGCAGCCATGTCTTGTTTCTCATTTTTACTCTAGAGTAAGTTTAGAGGGCCTGATCCAGATTCAAACACTAGTGTGTGGTAAAGCGGGTTTTTCAGATCTGGATCAGCTCCCTTGCACCTGCTTTAGAGTGACAATTTTAAAAGTGTGGGATTAACTGCTAAATACTGACCTAATGTAATGTTTCTTTTGGCTCAGAGTTTGTTACTGTCACTACTGTTAACAAAACTGGCTGCACAGGAGCATTGCAGCCCTGCAGACAGGTTGCATTCTTAAGAACTTTTATTCCCATAGTTGGAGCAATGCTGCTATAGAAGCAGGAACTGCATTTTGCATTATTCAATTGCTCGAAGCTTATAATTAGTGGATATCTCTGGCAGACAATGGGGTTTTTCATGTTGGAAAAAAAGGAGAAAGGACAAAGAAGCATAAGTTCAGTGGATTAGCTAGAATGGAGGAGTCTGTGTTTTTTGTTCTGTGATTGGTGGTGCATTTGGTTGTTGTGCTTGCTTGGATGGAAAGAGGAAAAAGAATTCCTTTCAACAGCATAGGGCTCTTGGGGTTCCATATGGGCTCTGCAGAGCAAGTTAGTTTACATTGTTTAGCCCTTGGCCATTACAGGACTCCAAGAAAAAAATAATTGCAATTCCAAAATCTTAAAAAAAACCCTTTAACAATATTATCTTGCATATGTCTATTCTGACTAAAATTTAATGGCTCTAAATTGAAACTACTCTCATGTGTACAGAATTAAGGCCTAAATCCATTTAACAACTATAGTAATAGTCAGTTACCAGGAATTGGTACCAATTACCATTTGCCATGACACCCAGACTTGGGCAGCTATTGTTACTAGAGGATTAAACAACTTTTATTTACCCTTGGTTTGTTTTAGGGCTATGCCAAGATTGTTCAACCACCAGTAACCCCTGCTGCGCTGGTTTTGATGACATGACAAGCCATGGCAACCCCCATCTGGGCTTGCATACTCATAATGGTGTCCAGCATGCACCACAGCTCCCTGTGGGCTTATTAACCCACGATGGAGTATCATGTCATGTAAACTGGCATGTCGTTATGTGTGAACCAGTCCATTTGAGTTCCAAAGATTCCATACTTTTGGGGAGTACAATTATTTGCAAAGTAACATAAAGCAGAAAGTAATGTCATGGGAAGCTACTTTGTTATAATGTCTTTTCTCAGTGGTAAAGATATTTAAACAACATATCTACATGTAGCAGGGAAACCTTGGTAGATTGGAAGAAAGAGTTCTTTTCATCCAACATATATAGCAATTTTGAGCATTATTTCTAGGCAGGGAAATAAATGCAGAGTTTGTAGCTGCAGATTTCACTGTTCCCCCCGCCATGCTCAAATTTTCTACATAAGTTGGAAGAAAAGAGTTTTGTCTTGATGGCTGTCAAAAGAGAATGCTCACAAGAACATAGATCTCTTTTCCAGAGTACCTAGAAGCTGGAGAGAGTGTGGAACTGTGAGGGCAATATTAAAATACTAAAGGATCACACCTAGGGAGAGATGTACCTTCATCACTTTGCTTTTGATGGTCTACAAGTTGACAGCTGTCAGATATGCCCAAAGCAACTGATATGTAGCCTTGTTTAGTCAATGACCATGGATGTTGAATACTGCATTAGCAAGCAGAAGCTTAGTAGGACCCTGGCCAGACAAAGCTCCACATTTCATTCCTTTTATAGGTGTATATTTGAATAACATAAATATTTTTGTACAGCTGATTTAGTTGTTTATAAATATGCATCACACTTCTTTTTAGATTTGCAACCAGCATAATGTTGGCACTCCACATTTTGGACAAGCATCATACAGGATGGCGCAGGCAGAAACTAACCTGGACCATGATCTACCACTATTGTCCCTTCCGGTATACTGGGCTAAAACTGTTGTGGGACTCCTTTCCCTTATCTGCTTTGTGAATAGCTATGATGGCGATTTCGTCTTCGATGACTCTGAAGCTATCATCAATAATAAGGTTAGTGGCTCTCTGTCGTGGATTTTGGCTCTTTTGTAAATAGTTGTGTGGTCATCTATGGTAAGCGCTAATCTTTTGCGGCAATCGGACAGGGAGGTAGGGCTTTTAGCATGGGTGCAAGTATTTAATTGTTTACTGAATTGGCTGAAACTTGTTTATATTTCAGTAAAAGAGATCCCCAAATAATGAGGGAAATTAAGTGTTAACTAATACGGAACATATCTAAAAAGTTTCAGAACTAGTACAATAGTGATTGGACTGACCTGGAACTGAACAAAAATGTGTGTAGAAGTCCAGACCTCTGTTGCACACAAGGAATGCCTGGGATGGCTATATTTTAACATTGGCAAATGTAAATTTGTAGCATAATGTGTAAAGCATCCTTAAAGTTGTGCTGCATGCTGACCTCAAATAGGTTGCTTAATCTTCTTCAATTCCTGAGGAATTCAGTTGTATTAAAAAAAGCTAGAAAAAATGAGAAAGATAGTCAGCTAACCATATTGCTGTGCATTTCCAAATACTTGGATGGATTATAAGGATAAAAACACAAGCATTGCCCTTTCTAAAGAAAGAATACATGCATTTGTTGAAATGATCTATTCCATATTGAAACAAGTTACAAGAAACTACAACTAGTAATATGTAGACGGTTGTGTAAACCGTTTTGAGACCATTACGCTACTCAGATGGTATAGAAATGCTTTAAATAGGAAAATAAAGAATATCTCACTATTAAGCAATGAAGGAACTAGAAAAGATAATCAAGGATGTTTCACTGGAGACCAAGGCCAAGATCTTTCACGCTATTGTATTCCCAATCACCATGTATGGATGTGAAAGCATGATAGTGAAGAAAGCTGACAGGAGGAAAATGGATGCATTTAAAATAAGTGCTGGAAAAGATTGTCGTGAATACCCTGGACTGACAGGAAGACAGAAATGGAGGCCTAGATCACATTGGGCCAGATGAACAAGTGGGTCCTAGATCAAGCCAGAGCTTTCCCTAGAAACAAAAATGACAAAACTGAGGCTATCGTATTTGAAAACATCATGAGATGGCAAGACTCACTGGAGAAGGCACACATGCTAGGCAGAAGAAGGCCGAAGAAGACAAGGAAGACCAACTATGAGATGGATTGCCTCCATAACGGAGGCCACAGTGTGGAACGCAGGAAGAGCCGAATGGGACTGTCATGGACAGGATATTTTGGAGGGCTTTCATTCATAGGGTTGCTATTGGTTGACGATAATCTGATGGAACATAACAACAGTGGCAGTGCTGAGGAAGAAAGTGGGGCCACTCAGAGGGAAAGACCCACTGAGGGCAACCAGTCTGATGGAGCAGGGGCTGATTTCCCTGAAACATTACCAGTTCCAGAACTTGTATATCAAATTAAGCGTGAGGCAAAGGACAAGCTGTTTCTCCTTCCCTTTCATGTGAAAAATTCAAGTGGATTTGCAGCTGAATTTCTTTTTGATAGCCACAGTGGCACAACTTCCTTTACCACATTTGAGGAAAGTAGACTCTCTTAGGGCATGCAAGGCAAGCGTCATGGCCCACAGCTTAGTCCTGCATCGATTTGTTGGTGCTGCTGTCCCAGCCCTTGTCCCCGAAGTGACTGCTTCTCTCTGCCATGGTAGGCCTGGCCATGGTACTAGCACAGGAAAAACCCTGCTGCATCAGACCAGAGATCTGCATGGCAGGAGCATCTTTTCCCCCTAGAGAAGCCTACAGGCAGGATCAAGAAGCAATAGTTGCTCCTGCTGTTTTGCTCTCTAGAAACCTTAAGTTAGAGGCATACTGCCCATAAAGCAGAAAGTTACTTACAGCTGTCATGGCTAGTGCCCATTCGCAGAATTACTCTTCCTAACAGCCTTGCCCAACCTGCTGCTTTCCAGGTGTGGTGGAGTACTACCCATACCAATCACAAGGAGCACGGCCAATGCTCCACTGCGTCTAGAAGGCAGCAAGTAGGTTCATGGGCTCTTCCTCCACAACTGTCCCT